CCTGTTCTTCTTGAAGAGGTTTCCATTCAAATTAGGCAACATTTATGGTTTATGCACGACGGTGCACCAGCTCATTTTAGTATACGTGCAAGAACTCACCTGGATGAGGTGTATGCCAATCAATGGATAGGTCGAGGAGGACCTGTAAACTGGCCAGCCCGCTCCCCTGACCTTAATCCTTTGGATTTTTGCATATGGGGATATCTGAAATCTTTGATATACACAAACGCAGTTGAAAATATCGATGATCTGCGAAACCGCATTGTAGCAGGGTGTGAAACTATAAGAAATTCTCCAAGAATATTTCATCGTATACGCAATTCTATGAGGAAAAGGGTAGATGCTTGTATTGAAGCTGAAGGCGGTCATTTTCAACATTTATTATAATTGTATTGTCGATATTCGACAGGTATTTGTTAATTGTTTGTTCACTTTTGTTTTTAGTTGTAGAAGTCTTAAGAATCATAATTTGGTTGGCTGTTGTTTAATAAAATGCTATTTTACATGAGCTTATTTATTTTTTTCTCATAAATGCTTAAGTTTTAGAAAAAAACTTGTAGAGATAAAAAAGTTAGTCAATGAATTGGGCTTTTCAGTCATACTTTTTTAAAGAAAAAATTTTCATCTAAAAAAAAGTTTTAAGAACAAATATCTTAGGGGTTGATTATTTCAACCCCTTCTAAACATACTTCAGGGTTGAAAAAATTTCAAAAAGTGTACTTTTATTGACAGATAATGTTTACCAAGTTTCGTGTCTTTAGCTTGATATACAGGGAAAATAAAAGAGAAAAAACATTTTTTTTTTTAATTTTCGAAGGGGTGTAACTTTTCCGGGGAGGTTTTTTTCAAAAAAATTTATACCAAACACTCACATTAATTTTCATCACAGAATCACCCCTTTAATTTTTTGGGGTAGGTAAATATATTTTGAAAAATTTACAATCTTCTTTTGAATAAAAGACAAAATATTTCTGTTTTTATTAACTGAACAATATTTTATACAAACATAATATATACCTATTTAAAAGAAAATATTACATTTTACAAGTATCGCATATTTATATGAAATAACTTACTCAATAAGAAAGAATTAAATGAAACAAATTAATAAACAATGGATATGAAAAATTGCTTTAACAATCCTTTAACAATCCTTAGATAAACTTATTCTTACATGTTGCTTTAATCAATTTATTTACTATAAAAGTATATTTCCTAATATTTATTACATGTAATAAAATAAAGCATAAAACATACAAACTATAATATGTGTACCTACTTAGAACGGAACTAATATTATTGTATCAAGGTAGTAATAGTGGACAGACATTTTCCGAATAAAAAAAAGTAAAAAAGAAGTAACGGTCGACATGTTTTTCTGACTATTGGTCTTCATCAGTACGGTGCAGCCAAGTTCAAAGGATTATGGAACGTGTGTTGGAAAAATTGTACAATAGGTCACTAACAAGGAGCCGTTTCAGCTAGTATCCCCAAATTTTCTGGGCTTATACTAAAGTCACAAAATGATTCAATGGTCTTCCTATGGCTATCAGTTATTCTTTCCTAAATTTTTTTGGTATGCTACAACAAAACACAAATTATTTGATTTTGATAATATACAAATATTTTTGAAAACTTACACATGAAATGTTATTCCTTCCTTGTATCTTCTACCGTTGGATGCATTGTTACATTCACGTACAAAACAACAAAAGATTTTGAAAATCCTGTAAAAATTTAACACCAAACCACAAATGTTTTTTATTAAAATAAAACACTAAACGACTAAACTAAAAAATAATGTTTTAAATAAAACCTTTACTAGAAGAACAAAATAAACAACACAACAGATAATAAAATCGATTATATACGTCGAACGCCGATCTTACGCTTATTACTAAACTTGTGCCGATTCTGTCTTGTCAGAAGTGCCAACTTAAAATTTATTGACATTTATTTATCATGGCGCCCATCATATGGGGGGTCAAAATGTTTTTACAATGCGGTATCTAGACCTTCTGAGGGCTATGACCGACATGCATTGCCTGGTGCGCTTTTGCCAGGCTGTGGAGTTTATCAGTTTCATATTTAAAAATAGTTTTTAGCTATAACTCACTAATAGCAACAAATTTTATTAATTAGAATAGTTTCGAAATATATTGCGACACATCAAGCGTCCCCACCAATTCATTTTCGTACCTAGTGCAGTGTTTCCAACTCCGACGCATTGTGGGCAGAGATGTTGCAATATTTCCCGAAACATTTCTAATAGTAAGTCTCTAAATAAAATGACTTGTAACAGAACAAAAAACGTATAAAATGTGTACGAAGTAGATTAAGCTATTTTAACCGCTTTCAGCAGACTTGATATTTTAGCAGCACCTATTTTCACACCATTATGCAGGGCATTTTCGTACCTATCGTTTTTTACATACATACGCTTGCTAAATAACAACTTTTTAAATACTAATATAAACCTTGGCAAACAGCATTATTATTCCTGAAAATAAATGCAAGGATTTTAAAAGCATTAAACGTGACACCACCGCAATTTAAAATAACCTTGGTTCATTCATATTATACGTGACGGACGTCACGTATAGTATTTTATCCATCGATAGTTTGCGACGTTGCGATCCAGTAAATTGTTGCATATTGGGTGTTTTTGTTAATTTTTAGCCTTTTTTGGAAAAATTTCGGCTTGTGTATAGCTAACAACATGGTTCGCGAGTGCCTTTTGTGCAAAAAAACTGGAAAATTGGAAAATGTGGGTGCTGAATTAACTTTTCATAAGTAAGGTTAGGTGATGTATTGCATTGTTCAGTGGTGTAGATTTAAAGATTTTTGCCGTAATATCACATGTATTATCTACTTTTGTTTTACTATTTTCTTTGATCTTTCAACGTTAATTTCGCAAAAAATTGTAATTAATAGAAACACTTTAGTCTGGACTATAGTACTAAAATAAATATGCTTATGCTTGATTTTTAGATTCCCAACTGAAAGGCATACAAGAAATATTTGGCCATCACTTGTAGGACTTCAAGAAAATAAAGGTATTCAAAAAAGAGTGTTATGCTCGGAAGCATTTTGACCCTAATGGATATTCTTTAAAAAGCAAATGGCGCGAAATATATCAAGCCTGGAGCACTGCCGAAACTAAGTAATTCACTGATTTGAGAAAGCTCATTTAGGTAACTAAAAACTTTCTTAATTATGTTTCGGAAATGTTCATTTAAATGTTTATCCTTTAAGATGAAAGTTGGTAGTTTATCTTAAACAGAAATTTTTATATTGTAAGTTCTTTAAATTTTGTAGGTGCTTAACAAGGACAAACTTTTTTATAAACTCATATTACATGCCTCTTTCTTTGATTATTTTCATGGATTACTTTATTATTAATCAAAATGTATACTTATCTTTACATTAAAAGTTCTGAATACTGTGTTACAGCTCTGATTCCAGTATCAGTATTTTTGACAGCCCTAATAAGAAACCAGTTTATCTATGCCGCACACATTTAGAAAAAACCTATTTATGGATGATAATAAGTTAGTTTACTGCCTAGTTTTACAAGTTAAAAACTATCAATGGATAGGTTTATTGTTGTACAGTTCTAAGTGTTTTCGGATTTTACAAAATTCTTATCTCCAGATCCGCTATAAGAAGCGTTCCAATTAAAATCCCCACCTTGTGTATGGTAAATTTAATGATTTAATAACTTTTATAAATTTATTAGTGTTAAAAATCTCTCATTTACCAATTTGTAAAACTTCAAATTTTAACCCCAAAATTGGAATCGAAAATTTGTTTAAAATAAATCTTGATTTATTTATCTTGTTTTTAGTTTATTTATTTTATTTTATTTAACATATTATATGTAATAAATATTGTAATATTCTTGAAAAAAAAAATGTTTTTAAGTTTTTTACCAACATTCCACTGAACTTCATAACCTTATTCCAAATCAAATCGGTTTTAAAGTTTAAACCATTATAAAGTTTATTGTACACCATATAGGTTAGTATTTCATTATTTTTTTATAATTAGTTATGATTTTATCTTTAATAAGATACGCCACTGGTATCGACAGACTTTAAGTTGCGTGTAACAGCAGCGTTGCCAGACGATATTTTCGATTATAGTCTGTCTTCTTTCGATCCACATAAAATATATTTTTTCTCTTTTCCGATGATTGGGACCAAACAGAACATACTTTATGAATGAAATGCATCATCTATTGTTTCTTTTATCTAAGTATCACGCACAGGGGAAATAAATTGATAATTTTGTAGCTAACTGGAACGACGCGAGAGAAACATATGAAAATCACGAAACAATAAAGGATAGCATACAGCTGTATCACTGATTCAAAAATAGGTACCTCTCCTACTAAAACCATCTCCAAAACAGAGTAGCTACATTGTTTTTATATGGTGAAAAATACCCAATAAAATTTAGAAATATTTTGACGGGATACTTGGAAAATATATAGAATGAAATCTCCTACTTTTTAGATCTAGTTTTAAAATGATAAAAAGTGATTTTTTTAATTCAGTACCTAAACAGGACAAATAAAAAATAGGAGATTTCATTCTCCAAATCTTATACTTTAAGCTGGTAGAAGATTAATTTTAATACATTTAGCGGAATTTAAATGCAATCGGAAATGGTGAAGCCTTGCTTCTTATGGGAAAACACACTGAAACTGCGGCGTTAAGACGTATTATGAGTTATTTTTAGTAAAAATGTACTAGAGTAGGCATTCATCATCTTCATATTTTAGTCTCATTGTCAGTGCAGGATTTTTATCAAGTTTTACAACCATAGCTGACAAAAAATACAAGTTGTTTAAAGAACAGAGTTAGATTTTAATGCTAAAATAGGTGCCATTCAATAATTTTGAACACCATACACTTTATTAATATCTACATGTATTTCAATAACGCCTTGTACAAAAACTATAAATTATTGAAATACTAGATGAATTTGAAACTTACTTGTATTTTTTTTGCAAAAGTCTTAAACAAGTAGCTTCATCTAAGGAATGTAAGCTTTCTAATCTAACTAAATCTAAGCCTGCACTAGGAAGTTTTCTTAATGCCATTACAGTAGATCGCAATATGACTGCATGGTCAAAAAATCTTCTAGCTTCACCTAAAAGTAACAGTCATTTAGAATTATTACTGTTTAAAAAAAAATATTTGCTTAAGTAATAAAATACAACATTTTATGGTTAATAATAAAGAAAAACAAAATAAAAAAAATAACATTATCTTTCAAATAATTTTTGAACAATTTTTTTAATTTTGATTTCGTTATTTGATTATAAATACTTATTTTTCTTCAAGTTAACCTTACACTAGTGAAAAGTTCAATAATCTACAATTTTTTTATTAAAATAATCACATCAGCGAATAATTTAAAATAACTTTAATTTTGAATTGAATTTACATAAATAATATAATTTAATTATAAACAAATTGTATGCTTTTCCACAAATTTTAACATTATATTATTTAATATATGAAAATTATTATGCTTATTACCTTCTCCTTCAGCATCCAGCACTGATACTTTTTCCAACTCTGTCATAAAACTATCTAAACTCTCGTCGCAGAGTTTTCCAACTTCAAACATAGTAACTGCATGTTTTTTCAACCCCGGTGAGAGATTTCCCATCATAAGGTAAGCAGTAAGGGTAGAATCGAATAAAAATGCAACTCTCTGACCTCTTCTTTGAAGAGTACTGCTGGCAGGGCTGTCTGGAAGCTCAGATTGAGGAGACTGGATGTCTGAAGAGGTATTTAAAGGATTGGTACTTAAATTAAGGGTTAAAGGAGTTATATCCACGTTTCTAGAAGAAAAATTGATAATGTAGTTGAAACCATTGTTATTGCCAAAAGTATTGTAATTTATTAGTTAGTCTAATTTTTAACATCATAGTTCATGCTTCATGTGATTATCGACAATCATGATTCCACTCGTTGCATTATATTATGATGAATGAGGAATTACAAATTACGAGTTAAATGAAAATATATATCTAAAATTCTGAAATACTTAATAATATTAAATTTGTTACCTTGGATCTTGTGATGGAATATTTAACCACGAGGAATGCCATTGAATTTTTTCTTGTTCTGGATCAAAATTTAACTTGTGGGCAAATTTCAAACGGCAGTACAAAGATACAGCCTGTTTAACTAATTCTGTGTCTACTTGTAATACACCGGCAAGCTTAAAGACAAAAAGTTACAATATTTTAATGAATGGTATTTAAGGTATTTTTGTTAACTGGGATTGGAGTCTTCTTGGGAATTTTTTATTATTGTATCGACTAAAATTATTTTTACCTCTCCCACTGTAGTATGCTCATCTATAGAAACAAATATTTTGTATAAAAGAGTTTCAAAATAGTCTCCTAGTATTCGATTCATAACAAAGCCTTGCAAGGGTGGTACTTGGACCATATCTGCTGCAGTAATTGGTACATCCAAGTATATTAAACCTTTCCTAAAAGAAACGACCTGATTAAAGAGATCACAACACAATTAAACCGTCTCGAAAGACTAAAAAGGATATTTTAGTTTTTTTGGAGCATGACTTTAATACTCAGTAGAAATTTTAAAGTAATACAAAAAGTTTATATAAACTCAGGTCGGCAAACGCTTAGTTTTAAATTAAATATTAAAATATATTTTTCTTAAATATTGTAAACATTTTTTAAAAATATACGGATTTTTTTAGTAGCATATTATGGACAACGTTTTACAATAGCCGCCAGGAGGCACTTCTCTGTATTGAACTCTTTACGGATTACAATGACCATAACTTTTTTTTCTCAGTTTACTTTATGTATCTTTTAATATCAAATCCTATTTCCTGTACTTTTCTAAACAGGTAACCTTTTATTAATATTACAATTTGATCAAAAGTTGATCAATTAGTAATTTTGTTTTAACTTAACTTAGCTAGGGTTGCAATTTTAAAAACTAAATTTATGCTCTCTAATATACCTTAGGATCTGATAACTTATTTACACTGAACTGCACAATGCTCTGCTTTGTTACTAACCCAATCACTTGGCTAACTCAAAATGATTCACTCTATTGAGTCTTCTTGTAAGATTGGTGTTGTCAAGAACGTTCACATACTGGTAGAGCCGTTGTTGATAACTCCTTTGGTGATAGTCTGGTCAATAGTGCCCATCTGAAGATCCCGATGGAGGTATCCGTTTCAAATGTACCAAGGAGCATCGACAATGTTCCTCAATACTTTGTACTGGAATATCTCGATTATTAGAATATTACTGTTACTGGCGCAACCCCAGAGCTGAATGCCTTAAGTCTAAACTGGTTTAAAGACTTGTTTATATAAAATAATTTTGTTATATATAGATTGGCTGGATTGCCTACCACGTAACCAGTTTACTTTCTTTTATATCCAGCTCTTGTCTTTTTTAACATGGACCTTCCAGCGAAGTCTTGAATCTAATGTAATACCTAGATATTTTACTGAGTTAGCATAAGGGACCTGGGCATTATTTATGTTAATCGGTATTTGTTGACCATTTTTGTTAGTAAAATTAATATTAACAGATTTGGTTTCGTTCAGTTTAATACGCCATCTTTTGGTCGTTATTTATTTAATTAACTGATGTTTGTAGTTTATTTAATTTTGCAGACTCTTCATGTTCTTTGCCTATTGCTAGGATGGCACTATCATCTGCAAATGTAGATATTGTGTCTTCTTCCAGTTGGGTTATGTCACAAGTGTATAAGAACTCGTGGAGCTAAATACATTTTTCGCAGAAACCGACTGGTTTTTCATATCAAGCTGCGAAGACGTCAATGTTAGTGAACAACGCATTCATAATATTATTGTTAAGGGTATTGCCAAATTCGTACCCAGAAAACGTATTAGAAACAGCAAATATCCTGTCTGGTTCGACGACTCACTTAGAAAACTCATATCGGAGAAAAACAAACTTTACCAAAAATTTAAAATGACACAAGTCCACGCAGATTACTTAACTTACTCCGATAAACGACGTGAAGTCAAATACAGAACAGGTGTGTTATTTAACATTCATAACAAACTCTGAACAAGTGATCCTTGAGAATGTAAAGTACTTTTGGTCATTCATTAAAAGCCTTCAAAGAGAGTCTGGCCTACCTAACCTGATGAAATACAACAATCTTGAACTAAGTGACCCCTCAGATCTAGCCAATGCTTTCACAAATCATTTTCAAACGTGTTACACAAAAAAAGACAATACCGATTTTACTTCAGTTCCATCAGTGACATTTTCATCGACTCTATCTCTCCACACATTTACAGTAGAAGAAGTATCATTCAAAATGAAACGTCTAGATGCAACCAAAATTGCAGGTCCTGACCAACCGTATTAAAGAGCTGCTGCGACTTACTGTTTAGAAATTCTCTAACTTGGTGTCAATTTACAAGAAGGGAGACAAAACTAACATCAAAAATTATCGAGGCATTTCTATAATCTCTACAATACCTAAATTATTCGAATTCATCCTGACTGACGAGGTAATTTCCATATATAAAAATTACATTTCCCCATACCAACATGAGGACGCTTAACTGCAACAAATCTTGGCGTGTATCAAGAGTACTTACTCTCGTCTCTCGAAGCTAGTCATCAGGTTGACGCTATCTATACAGACTTATCTAAAGCTTTTGACAGTTTTTTCCATGAACTGCTTCTTAAAAAAACTAGCAGACATTGGTATTTTTCGTAATTACCTTATTGGTTCAACTCTTACCTAAGTCATCGCTCTCAGAGTGTTACTGTGCAAAAGTCGGTTTCTAGTAAAGTATCAGTAACATCAGGTGTTCCACAAGAATCTCATACTGGCCCTATCCTATTTTTATTGCTTCTGAACGACGCAAAACAGTGACTGCCTATTATTTGCAGACGACTTTAAGTTTTTTAACATAAAGACTAGTGACAACTTAGCCTTACAATCGGATCTCGATCGCTTCACCAAGTGGTGCAAACTAAATCATTTGTCCCTAAATGGCAATAAATTTGTTACAATACACTTCACAAGATCTCCCAACCCTACTCTGAACTCTTACAAGGTCGGTAAAAGATCTCGGCATCATCTTTGACATAAGTTTATCCTTTAACCTGGTCATCGACTCTATTGTGTGCTTTTAGAATGCTTGGTTTTATTAAACGTCACTTGCATCACATAAATGACACAAAGGCTATTACATATCTATACAACTGTTTAGTCAGAAGCATTTTAGAATACTGTTCTGTAATCTGGGTACTTGCCACATAAATAGGATAGAAAGGGTACAACGCAAGTTCGTTAAATATCTACCATTCAAATTTCGGTTTCCATATCAAGATATCTGCTATGAAACGAGAATAATGCTTTGAGGTCTACACAGCCTAGAAGATAGAAGGAAACAATCTCTTCTCCTATTCCTTTTTAAGCTGTTGAATTGGTCTCACGACGTTTCCCTGTGTTATTCCTTCTTGTTTTACTCTAAAGAATCTATCTGATATGTATGAATCCAATAGCTTTGAGTAGCTGTGAAAGTAGCACATTCAGTTTATGTTTTAAGCCATCACAGCATATTTTATTAAAAGCCTGCACAATATCAAGAAAGATTACTGACAGACTTCTTTGTTTTTAATCACATTTGTGATTCTATGAACCTGATCAATAGTCGAATGATTTTCTCTGAAGCCGAACTGATAATCTGAAACTAATTTATTTTCTTCAATGATGGGTTTCAGCCTTTTAATGAGTTTCCATAATACAGCGAATAGAGAAATTGACATATGTGATGAAACTTCGTTTGGAGATTTTCCTGGTTTGTGGATCATAATGACTGCAGCTACTTTCCACAACCTAGGAACATACCTTAGTTTGAATAAGTTTTATTATGGCTTTCTTTGGAAGTTGTTTTAAAACTTCTCATTTAATTAAATCAATGCCATCAGCTTTCTTAGGATTCTTACGATCAATATTTGTTTTTATATGCTTTGCAATTTCCTTTGGATATATTGGTCTTATGATTGAGTTAACTATGTCTGGAAGATCCCAGTTCAGTAATTCTTCTCCTTCATTTGGTTGGAAGGTATTTTGAAGGTGTTCTGCGAATCTATTAACTTTTTGTATGTTATTTCAAGCCCAACTGACATCTACATTCCTGATTGGAGCTTTTGCACGGTGGGCCTTTTAAATTGCTTAGTGGCTATCCATATTGAATAATCGGTGGCTTTATCAACAACTCACTAAGGTACTTACTAATAGATTAATTTTTGAACAGTTTTATATCTATTTTTAACTGCTGGGTGGCGTTGTTAAGGTTGGTTTTATCTGATGGAGCTGTGGTGTGATGCTATTTCCTCCTTAGTTTTCTTTTTGTAGAGGTTAGGCCTCTTATTTCTTTAGGATAGTTATTTCTTGTTGTTCGCTGAGCGATAGGTGGGGTATTATCCCATGCTGCTTGGACACAAGTAGTTCTACTTCTTCATCTAGCTGCTCTACGGTTCTTAACAGAACTAAAAGGTTGGTTTTCTTTTCAAGGTCCAGTCTGAAGTTTTGCCAGTCTGTTCTTCTGTTTACTATTCTAAAAGAGCTTTCTTTATGGATAATGTAGTCGATAAAAGTGAGAACAATAAGAGTTTAATCTGAATTCATGTCCCATGTTTCATCAACTTGGATGCAGTTTACTGACACATTTCGTTGATTAGTGTAATCTGGGAGTTTGGGATTTATCTCACCATACTATGGAGTTTATTAAAGATTTTGAAGTTATCCACAAAGATAGGTGGTGGTGCCTTAATTTTTACAGGGGTGTCTATTGTAGTCCTGCGGAGGTGTCAAAGAGGTATCAATTTTTCACGCAGGTTCACTTTGTCTCTTTTGTAAGCTCTTCATCAGTGAAGTATTCGGTGGACTTTTTATATGGATATTTAGAATTCATTTAGTTAGTTAAATGGTGATCCTCTTAAAATCCTATTAAAAATTAGATTGTATCGAACAATAAAATGCCAAGTAGGCATGTATCTCAAAAACGGTCACCTTTATCAGATTTTGGAAAGTGTACCCTTTTGGTTAGAAGAGAGAAAATAATATTTTTATTTAAAAAATCCATAAAGTATACTAATAATAATAATACTATACTGGGAAAAAGTTATAGCAATTTTAATTCATACAAAGTAAAACAAAGGATGTTAGTGACTACAGAAAAATGGTGTCCCTAATACCAAAAACATTTACACATTTACATTTAATGTAATACGATAAGCTACCAGCAAATATATTCTGGATCGCTAAATTAGATTTTAATAGATTTTTATAGATTTTAATAGATTTTAATAGATTTTAATAGATTTTAATAGATTTTAATAGATTTTAATAGATTTTAATAGATTTTAATAGATTTTAATAGATTTTAATAGATTTTAATAGATTTTAATAGATTTTAATAGATTTTAATAGATTTTAATAGATTTTAAT